GTTCAACAAATAGCTTGGGAAAATAAAGTATCTAAACACTCCGCTGTCAAAATCTCGTCAACGAAAATCATTCGAGGACATGAGTGCATCGATCGATGGTTCGGGTCTAAGTTGTGGGTCGGACATCGCATTGAAAGAAAAAAAAGAAAAAAAAGAAAGAAAAGGAAAAAAAAGAAAAACGATGTCCTTCAACTTCAATGTCCTAGAAATCCGAGATGCTATCGTTTGATAGAAAAATTCTACAAAAAGGTAAAAATCCAGGTATGAAGTAGAACTTAGATCGAAGAGGTTAAGCTGAGATAAGAATAGGTTCGGAAATATGCTTGGCGAGTTGTAGAGATTCTAAGGGGTTCTAGGTGGCAATAAAAATCCCATGACAGTAGATTAGTCTTTGGTAGAAAGATCATAATAGACCGGTTTGGGTATGATTCACGGGTAGCTAGGATTGGATGGATGTTTTGCTTTTGAGTTTCATGATGATGCTTTTTTATGTTCCTCATTCTTCATTTTACAGATTCTATTCCTTTGTTCTTTACTCAAGGACGAGCAAAGATTTAAGTCTGAGGGATTTGATAACTCCTATTTTTCTCTATATTTTTATGAGAGTTTGTCTAGGTTTTACAGGATAATCACATGCATTAATAGACATTCTAGGCGTGTTAGGACACAAAACCCGGTTGTACTTTAGTTTTGCAGAGTTATAGGTTTTGAAGATGATTGGACGCGAAAAGAAGCGTTTTTGTAGCGTTAGAGATGAAGTTCGGATAAGGTATTCATGTTTCGAGATCAATAACTTTCTCTACAGAAGTCCAAATCATGCGAGACTTGTACCATTGGAAAGAACATTTCAAGAGCTTCGCGTGACACCAAAATCATATAAATCCGACACTGAAGCGGAAAGTTATGAGCAAATTCGTGAAGAGTTGGTAGATCGGAAGATTGACGAGTTACTTTGTAGGTAGTGAGTTGGTAGATCGGGACGTGAATTCTCTATTCTTATTGCTTGATAATTCCCGAATACAAGTACGATGTTGTGATTCTCGTATGCTTAGCATATACCCATACACGCGAATACGGTCCCGACACCGGTCATCTTTGCACTACAAGAAAAACTGTATTTACCGACGGAAGTTGCGACGGAATTTCCGTCGCTTTAGATATATGCGACGGACAACGACGGATTTGGGACGGATTTGCATCAGCCGTAACCCGTCGCGCAATCCGTCGACAATTTCGACAACGACCGACGGAACTTTCCGTCGGTAATTTTGTCAGACGGATTGCGACGGACTGCGACTGATATTTGCGACCGAACTTTCGTCGGAAAAGTTTGCGACGGATTGGGACGGATATATTGCGTCGCAAAAAAGTAGCGATGGATGGTGACGGCCATTTCCGTCGGGAATGAGACGGATTCGGTGCGTCACAGGTAGTTAAACACGTGTTATTCGTTTTGACCTAATTCTGTCGCATTCCGTTGTTAGTCCGTCGCTATATGTGCATTCCGTCGCTTTCCGTCGCATTTCCGCCGCACGTTCCAACTCTATTTAACAACCGCGACATGTAGTCTTCATGGCAAAGAGAAAAAAAAATAGAAAGTGACAAAAAAAAATTCGTTTTATTCTCGACAATGGATGTATGAAAGAATTGATTCTATTACGAATCAAATCTCAAAGCAATATGAAGAAGGGTTGCAAAATTTTATGTCGTTTGCCACGTCAAATCAGTCGTATTTGGAGAGCGAAAAGTTGCCTTGTCCGTGTGTAAAGTGCCAGAATAAAAAATGGCGGAGTTTGAATGAAATGTGGAATCACTTATATCGTAAAGGTTTCATGCCGAATTATTTTGTTTGGTTTGCACATGGAGAAACCTATGATACATCATCATCACAAGATGTGCATATGGTTGGATATGAAGAAATCAATAATACGATGTCGGAGATGACATTTGGAGAAGAAATAAGGAATCCATACACAGAAATGGTGAGTGATGCATTTCCCAACATTGTTCCATCGCCCCACATGGAGGAGGAACCCAACGTAGAAGCAAAAAGGTTTTATGGTATGCTTCATACGGCGAATACGGCGATATACGATGGATGCGTCCAAGGTCTTTCAAGGTTATCATTATCTTCACAGTTGATGAATATGAAGACAGATTATAATCTTCCAGAAAGGTGTATGGACGGTTTCACCCAGATGTTTAAACATTATCTCCCAGAAGGTAACACTGCACCTGAATCTTATTATTAAACTAAGAGTTTAATGCGGACGTTGGGTTTACCGTATCAGAAGATTGATGTCTGCGAGAACAACTGTATGATTTCCTGGAAAGACGTAAAAGAATGTTTTATATGCCATTAACGGATCGATTGAAGCGGTTATATCATTCCGAGAAGACTGCATCACATATGCGCTGGCACGCGGAACATTGTACTCCAGAAGGAGAAATGCATCATCCATCTGATTGATTGGCTTGGAAACATTTTCAACATGTATTTCCTGATTTCGCAAGCGAGTCTAGAAATGTATATTTAGCATTATGTACGGATGGGTTTAATCCATTTGGAATGTCTGGTCCGAATTACTCTCTGTGGCCGGTGATTCTGACACCGTACAATTTGCCTCCGGACATGTGCATGAATAGAGGAATCTCAAGAGAAGAGTCGAATCGCGTCGATGAATCGAAAGGTGAAGTCTGCTTCCGACCGTGCCCCAGGAACTCACACTGCGGGGAGAAGATCGTTTGCTAAAGTTGCTCTCAATATTGTAAGTATTTTGTGAGAATTGATTTATTTGTTTTTTAATTTTACTAATATTTTTGTATAACTTTTTTAGGCCGAGAAAGAAGGCGTTCAACCGTTTGCTCTGCGTGTCTTACAAGACACGCATCGTCGATCGGATGGGACGAACGTAGATTATCGTGTCCAAGAAATGGAAGAGGCCATTCAATCGAAGATTATCGATCGAATGACGATGGACGAGAGCAGCGGTTCAACGCAATTGACTCCGCAGGAAATCAACAGCTTGTATCTCGAGGTAGTTTTTGTATTTAAAATAATATAATATGTTAGAGTTTAAATATTATTTACATATTGTTTTGAAGGTCGTTCCTCCCGATGCGAAAGGTCGGATTTACGGGATTGGTGCATTGGCGAGTCAGCTCGGGGGTGGTGACGCATCTTCGTCGTCCATGGTACGTCATGTATCTCTGTCGCTGAAGTCGAGGAGCTGAAGAGAAAACACGAGGAGACTTCTGCGGAACTTGTAGCTGCTCGGGAGAAGATTGCTCAGTTTGATGCAGCTCAAGCGAAGATCGCTCGGTTAAAGGAGATGATGCAACGTTTTATGCCTCCGACCGATTCCGCCGGTTCGTCTGCTCCGAGTCCCGCCGTCAATCCCGGTCCATCGGTTCATCAAGACGAGCAACATCCGCAAAATCTCGATCCCCAAAATCTCGATGATTTCCCGGACAATTTATTTCGTTAGATTTCAATTTTGTAATATATAAAACAATTTCGGTTTTTTATAATATTATTGTATAATTATTTTTTTAAAACGAAATTTTTATTTTTTTTCGAATAAAATTCCAAATGCGACGGATTATACCGTCGCATAAGGAATAATCCTACGGAAATCTTCCGTCGCTTTCCGTATCTACGTAGCGACGGAAAACCCGTCGCCATGATATACCGACGGATAAATCCGTCGTTAACGGCCGTCGCTAAATTGCGACTAATATCCGACCAATCCTCCCGTCCCTCTTTGCGACCACTGTGCGATGGAAGATCCGTCGCAACATACAACGGAATTACGACGGAATCTCCGTCGGTAAAAGCGACGACTGAACGACGGAATTTCCGTCGCGTTTACCATGGAAAAACGACGGAGTTTCGTCGATCAAAACGATTTCATTGCGACGGTTAGTCCGTCGCTTTTACCGGTGGAATATTCCATCGTTCAAAACGATTGACTTACGACGGGTTTTTTCCGTCGCAATTATGCGACGGATGCACACCGGGATATGTTTGCGACAACCATTAACGGACGAAACTTATTCCGTCGATGTCCGTCGCAAACCACGTATACCGACGGAAATTCCTCTTTACTACGACGGATTATTCCGTCGGAAAAGTGAGTGTTTTTTGTAGTGTTGCTTGATAGTTACACGTTTTTATTTGCTTTGCTATTCTTTTCTATTGAGTCCATACACTTCTATCATCACTACTTCCACTTACTTGCTTTCGATTTAGTTTCGATTAGGATTTAGATTTAGCAACCGGTCTTTGCGTTCGACCCCGTGTTACGACGATCTGTATCTTTGCGGTGAGTTGTGAATCGGGTTATAAATTCTAGACTCGGTACACACGTATCACGGGACAACAAATTCTCTTGAATCAATGTATCATATACTCTCAGTAGGGCTGCTCATTTCGAGTTTCAGTTCGGATTCAATTCGATTATATTGGGATTCAGTTATTTCGGTTATAGAAAAATTATAACCATCCGGTTTGGTTCGGTTCGGATTCAGTTTTTTGTTGTAAAAAAATTATTTTTCAAAGAAATTATCGGTTTTTCGATTATTTTTTTAATCGGTTCGATTCGGTTTTGATTTTTTGGATTTAGACAAATAATAATTTTTCGGCTTTTATGTCAGATTCGGTTCGATTACAATTATATCTTATTCGGTTCGATTCGATTCAACTATTCTGTCAATAAACAAAATGGTCACCCCTATCTATGAATACAAAATTCATATTTTAGGGTAGGGTATCGGTCCGATTTCCATAATGATTCAGTTGTTTTTTCTCTATCTTTTTCATTTTATACACATTCGAGTTTTTATTTGTATTTTATTTTTATATTGCTTTTCAAATTCTTAGTTGTAAAAAAAAATAGATTGGTTTTGCATATAATTATGTGTTATTTGTATACCGGACAGAAATATACACTCTAATTACAATTACTCATATATAATTATCGACATAAGAAACCAAAGTGTTTTTTAAAACAACTAAACAGCTGTCATCTTTTGCTTGAAAGATCGAAGATATACATATTCATATATACATAGACGTGTGTGTGAGTGTATGTGAATGACATATTATGATTTGAAAATACATATAGATAAATAAATATATGAATTAACAAAGCCTTGGCATTGGACTGCCCAAGGAATGAGTATGGCCATGTTTAACCAATCTTGGCACTTGACCCTTCATTTCCTTACAAATCTTTTCAGACTCCAACACCTTGCATTGCATCCTCTCCAAATGAATCCTTACATCATTCCTCTCATCTTTATCTTCCACCTCATAACCTTCGAAAAACATCAAAGAAGGCTTCGATTCTGAATATCGGCGAATAGATTTCTTGTTTACGAATGGATAATCTTTCGCTGCGGAAGCCGAGGACGCGTTCAGATGCTGCGATTTCAACGCTTCTACTGCGACATTAGGAGGGATCTTTGGATCTTTCGCGAGTTGTTTGCATGTCTCTAACGTTAGTTTCTTGTAGTTGAGACATCTGCATAACTTGGTCCGATCTTCCAAGGACAAATTTTGATGAGACTGAAAAAATGTTATGGAACAGTAATACTAATCAGTTTCTTCTCACAAGTTGCCTACATGAAAAATGATATATCAAAGAGATCAACTTGTTCTATTTCAAAAAAAAAAAGTCATGATTTATATTTTTGTTCACTAAAAATTAAATTAAATTTGTAAAAGTTTCCCAAAACAAAGGTTGTCTGAATCTCAAGCAAATCCGCTCAATGCCCCAGTATTAACAGGAGAATAGTAGTAAAACTAAGTACTCCCAAAAAAAACTAAAAGCCACAAGTTTGGAAATTGTCGAGAGGACCACAAAAGCTCTTGAAAGAACAAAAAAATCCAGCTATGCGCATGTACTTGCAGGTGGATGTATCTAAATAGTTTATTTCTGTATCTCTATTTTTTATTTATAAAGAACTATTTTGTTTTATTCTTTAAATCGGAATTATAAAGGTATATAATTTTTTTTACAATATCATTACTTTTTTTTTGGTGAAAGTATATCATTACTTTTTTTTTATAAATTACAATGTCATTACTTTATAGTTGATAACTATTTATTAATCTATAAAATCTAACACATATGTATCAAAACAAATATTGGAAGCAAACCCCTTTTTAATAGTTTCAATCCGTCCATCGTTGCGTAGACATATATAAATATATATGATTTCAAATTCGGAATCATAAGAAATTACAACTTGTTCATATAACCTTTTTCTCTTGAGAAATGTTAAAGCTAATACACTAAGGTATAAAAAATGTATAGAAATTTGTATAAACTTGTCATCTTCTATATGGAAAAATACAAAACTTGTTTTTTGTCCCATGTATTGTAATGGGTTATGTCGTCTTTCAAATATTCCCCTAAGAACATGCATGCCCATCAATTATTTGGATAAGGATTTTATAATAATGCAAAACATACAGCAATTTTTCCTGTTTCACTAAATAATGGAAAGACCATTTGTTATAATCAAGACAAGTTATTTACCGTCCTTAATCTCATTTTTATAATATGATGTATCGCATTTTTTATTTAAAAATCTTGTATAACTATAAATTTTTTTGTTGGGGTAATTTATGGAAAAATGTATAGGCTTTGTTTTGTCAAATGAGAAATTGAGGGGTGTGTTTTTTTTTTTTAATCCACGAGTAAAAATTTCCAAAACAGCAATCATAGCCCCCCCAAAAAAAAAAAAGAAGTGTAATAATACTGACCTCTAGATAGATATCAATGGCTCTGTAAACTCCATCAAAGCAATCCCTTGCTGAATCTGGCAAACTCTCGACAACTCCAAGAAACTTGGAAACTTTTAGATTCTGATCTGGAGATATCTCTCTCAAGTATTTATCAATCAATTTCCCAATTTCCTTCATGTTTTGTGATGATTCTTGATTGTTGTTGTTGACGAGCACCTTCAGTAGTCTTATCACAAGATCAACATCGTAGAACAAGCCCTTGTCTCTGCTGTTTCCACATATCAGAAGGTCGTCTAGTGTTGCTTGATCGAGCATTTCTCCGATTAGGTTCTCTAACCCGATTCTCGACTCTCTACTGAGGCTGAAACCGGACAAAACCCGAAGAATCCAAAAGAGTTTTCTGCAAGAAAATGCACTTTTTCCCACCGAAATCACCCCTTGGACGGCGGTATCTGCAAGATCTGCGTATTCGAGTTTGTTCTTCATCAGCTCCGCGTTGTTGGATCCGATTTGGAGCCTTGTCTTGAGGTACTGAAGGAGAAATCTCGTAATTACTAAGCTGTTGTTGCTCGTCTTGTAAGCATCGAGATTCTTGATTAGCTTCCCTATGATCTGTGGTGCGAGAATCGCCATATCCTCAAACCACCATTCCTTGCTTGTTCTGCAAGAAAAAGAACGTGACGTACACTGTTTGATTGGTTCAGGAGTGTTCTTCGTCGTATCTGGAGAAGATGACGAGGTTGGTGAAGCAAAGACTTGATTCATGTCCGAATTCTGAGCGATTTTTGCCAATAACGCGCAGATTAGCTTCTGAACTAAACCATAAGAATCTGCGTAGACAAAAACTCTCTCGCAGCTCTTCAGACACAGAATAACATCGTTGAATGACCAGTAGAACATTCCTTCTAGGAACTTCTCTGTCTGAAGCAAGAGGTTCGAGGGCGAGTACTTCTCTGTCATCCCGAGAAAGACGGAACAGCAGTACAAGATCGAGACATTGGCAACATTGATCGAGATTCTTCCATTGTTGTGGCAAAATCTTGAAACCAGTTCGAATCCATATGAACCTCCAGGGAAATCTTCGATCTGGACGATGTCCAGAATGTTCTTGTTCTTGTTCCTCCTCTTCTTGCTCTGTTTTATCATCTTCCTCAAACTTCCCGAGTACTCGGAGATCAAACCCTACAAAGAAAATCCAGATTACAGAAGAAACATCAATATTTTTTTTTTGTGAATGTATGATGAACAAGACTAGTTACCCGATTGAGGAAGAATGTGTGTAGGCCATTGAGATGGATTTGAAGATCACAGAGTTGTGACATAGTTGACGCTTTTGCATTGGATGAATGAAAAACTAGTGGAACTTGTGATTGGCTAGTCTTCTTTAATTTTGTTTTTGTGGCTTTCCTTTTTGGATTCTTGAGAGCAATAATAGGAGCTTGTGAATTGTTTTTAGACAACTTTGTCATTGAAAACAAACTATATTTTTATGGACATTTTTGTTTTTTTTCAAAAACCACCACTTTTCTTTTATAAATTTTAATCAAATCCCATAGTTTTGCCGCGTCTCGATCAGAATAAATAAAATAACTTATAGTATGGATTCAATCGAAATACATTTTTTTTTATGAAATGAATTAATGAAATGAAGATCAATATTAGAATCTATTAAGGATATGGAGAACGTTTGAAAATATTTTAATAATATTACATAATATTTAGATTTGATTTTATTTATATATTTTAAATATTTATGTTAAGATGAAGTATGATTGTATTTTGTATTTATAAATATTGTAATTGTTTATTTCAAATAGAATAAATCCAAAAATTCTCTACAATTTTCTCTATTATCCCATAAAATTTATGTATTGTCATCATTGATATGTTTGGATTGCTATAAAATGATTTTTTTTCGTTTTCTTTTGAACTTTATATGTGATATTGTGGATATTTGGACTCGCTTAAACAAAATTAAAACAAATGGAATAACATCTATTCGAATTCTAAATCGAATTGTGTAGAATATTTTAAAATCTAATTAACTAAATCCAAAAAAAAGTAAATCGAATAGAATATAACAAAAAATCGGAACGAAAATTATTTTTTTTTATAGAAAATAAATATTCTTTTAAAGAAAACTCAAATTAAACCAAATATAAATGTGAATGATCAAAACCGAAAACTAAATAATGGGATCTAAATTATTTTAAAACTCTTAATATTAGTATAACATTGAGAGATATCTAGTTTATCTCTATATATTTTTTTAGAGCAAAAGGATAATAATAGGTAGGCTTTATTTATTTTATCAAATTAAATACATTGAAGAGTGTGAACGTGTGTGGGGTTAATTAAGGGAACTCGGTTCGGAATCCAACGGTTTTAGAAAACTATTGGCTTAGGGAATACTAATTAATTTGACAATATATAAAAAAAAAAAGAAGCTTAAGAACATGTGAAGAATACAGCCAAAACCATTTTGTCTAATATTGTTATAGACATGTAAGATGCCTAGCTACACTTTCTGATTTATTTGTTATTTTTTATGATTATTTTCTATTAAAATTTAATTAATTCGGAATTCCCACTATGTTGATTAACTATTATTTTTCTGCCTTCTTTTTTCCGTAATGAACAATTTATACATTTATAAAAGAACGACCTAAATAATAGTAGAAAATGATTTTATTCAGACTGAAACGATCTATAGGGTAATATAATATAAATTAATAATAATATTGTCAATATATCTAATTAATTAGTATATTTACAATACTATTACACAATGCATGCTTAATTTATTTAATTGCATCCTTAATTTGTATGTTTTTTTACCCTTCAAAGAAATGTAACTCTCTAAAGTATAAAATTACAATAATTTTATATAGAAAAAAAACACTGAATTTTTCAATTTTTACAAAAAAAACTAAAATTTTGATTTTGTCAAATAAACATTAAACTTTTTAAATTTGTCAAAAAATACTTAAATTTTTTACGGTTGTCAAAATAAATAAATGAGTTGACGTGGCATAAGGAGATGCAAACACGTCAAATTATTGTTGTTGGTTTTTTTATAATTATATATAGTTCATGTATTTTTTAATCATTTAAAAAGTTTAATATTTTTTTATAATCGCATAAAAGTTTGTGTATTTTTTTGGATCATTTAAAAAGTTTAGTGTTTTTTTAAACTCATTTTAAAAAGTTTAATGTTTATTTGAGGGATACCCGCATAAAAATACCTGAAATTTTACAAAAATCCCAAATAAATACCCGAACTATAAAATTATCATATAATACATGAACTTTTCACAACTTCCATATAAATACCCAGACTTTTAAATTTTTTCCAAACCAAATACGAATTCGTTAACGTCATTAAACGCAATTGCCGACTCAGCAAAAAACTGTTGACTTAGCAAAAAAACTGTTGACTCAGCAAAAAAATATTATTAAATATCCAAATATTCATCAACATGTATCTAAATTAATATATGCATAGAAATTCATATATACATGTATATATAAATAAATATAGAACTGTTGACTCAGCAAAAAAACTGCTGACTCAGCAAAAAAATATTATTAAATATCCAAATATTCATCTAAATGTATATGTATTTAAATTAATATATGCATAGAAATTCATAAATATAGATATTAAAAATAAAATTATTTATAATTAATAAAACACATATACACATAACTACAATATATATATATATCATTACTAATACATATATATTAAAATAAAAATAATTATAATTAAATTTATATACATCCATAATATACATATTAAAATAAAAATAATTATAACTAACATATGTACATATAATATATATTAAAAATAATATTTATATGTATATATATTATAGTGATATATATTATAGTGTATTAGTAATGATGTATATTATAGTGTACAAAACACATATATACATAACTACTGTTTTATTAATTATAAATAATTTTATTTTTAATATATATATTTATTTATATATATATATATATATATGATTTCTATGCATATATTAATTTAAATACATATAGATGAATATTTGAATATTTAATAATATTTTTTTACTGAGTCAACAATTTTTTTATGCTGAGTTAGCAGTTTTTTTGTTGAGTCAACAATTAGTTTAACGACGTTAACAGATGCGTGCTTGATTTGGAAAAAATTTAAAACTCTGGATATTTATATGGGAGTTTGTTGGGTTTTCTGGGATCTCTACAACGAATCTAATTCCTAAGAGATCGGTTCTAGGGTTTGCGCAGCGGATGTAAAACAAAAATTCTATAAAACCCTAAAACCAAGTATGCATGATTTCGTAGAAACGTTTAGAGCGCTTACCTCAATCGATCCGGGGCCTGTATCAATTGATTTTTCGTCCGATCACTAAAGGGAGGAAGATTACCTCGTCCTCTACACGTATCCACACCTCGAGATGGATTCCAACGATTGGAACTTGTCTGCTAGGACCCAAATCAACTATTTGTTGGTTTAGTGCTCTATGATGTACTGTTTATGAGCTTTGTTCAGATACATTCGATGTATTGATACTTTCTATGGTTTATATGAGAGTATTTGATTCATTACATGTTCTAGTATACTAGATCTGTTATGAAATCCGTGTATCATTATGAATGATACTAAACTCCCTAGTCTTGTGTCGTTATGGGAATAACGACATAATAAGACTAGTATGATGTGTGATTGATGATCATATAGATGATCATAGGTATTAGATACGATCACAATCATAGGTATTCGTTGGAGAACGGAATACTGGATTGACCCGCATGAGATTGTCACATGGACTAGCGTCATGACTTGAATCTCATATGGCGGTTCCATGATTGGATCCTGAGACCTGAGATATCTACGGAATCCAACATGAGGAGTTGCGTGCTTTGAATACGTCAAACGTTCTGCGTAACAGAAGAACTATAAAGGCGTGTATCAGGTTCGAAACGAATCATGTAATGGATTGTAGATAGTCAAGATGGGATTTGTACCTCTCGTAAAAGAGAGAGATATCGCTGGGCCCCTCGTGTGAGCGAGACTATAGAAATGTGTGGCCGCACTATAGACGAACGTCGTCTATTTCAGACAGTCGAACTCAGTGAACGAGAAAGCAGTCGAATCAGATAAGGTGGCTTGTCCATGCCTTATATTCGACATATGATATCGTGATACAAAAGGATCATCAAACGGAATCATCGCTGGCGTTCGTAGGATCACGAACAAACTCTATTCGAGATAGGTAGTCATAGTGTCTTGCTAGAGACCGCCTACGACTTGT